TATGAGATGAAAGTATGGTTTGCAAGCAAATAGAATCACCAACCATGGCATGATCTCACCTTTGGGTATTTATGGAAGTGAAAGGAAAGATCTAGAACATATGAGAAGCTTCCAAGGAAGTTCTAGAACTTCTCACGTAATGAGAAATTCAAAAATACTATTTTTAGTAAATCTCATAAAACTCATGATAAGTCTTCAAAATACCCTTATATGAGATATACATGTGAGAACAAGGCATTTTATGCAAAATTAAGGCTTTGGCAAACAATTTCTCATGGTACCTTAAAGTGCAAGAAACAAAATTACAAAGGAAGTCCAATTTTTAAGCCTAAACTCAAAAATGTGGATAAACCATTGTTTCCAAAATATTGATTCCAATCAAAATCATCTATCATATGCCCCATTTTGGATTTGTAGATCTCTCAAACCAAAATCCAATTTCAACTTTTTTAACTTATAAGCCTTTTTCAAGTCATTTTGACCATTTTAAAATATCCATGCTCCATGCATTTTCAAACTCTCACAACATCTTATCTAGCCTTAAAATGCCATTTTGAGCAACTTTGATGTTGGGAAGTTTTCCATTTGAAGCTTCCTTGTATGAGTTTTAGGCATTGGCTAAAAATGACCTGTAATTCCAAATGACCAAAATACCCCTGTCTTGCACAAGCCATAAGTAGAGTTCCCTAAATCATATGAAGGCATACCATACCTTTTTGGAAAGGGGATACAATGAGGAATAAATCTCATGTTTGTCCAAAGTCCATTTGAATTATTCTTGAGGGTCAAAAGTTTGTCAGAAGACAGTCAACTTTCACAGACAAATTTCAGTGTCATCTGGTGACCCCTAACTTGCAAGAGCCATAACTTGAGTTCTAGAAATCTTATCAATAACTTCCACCACTCAAATTAAAGCTAATAACATCCTCTACAAGTCTCATGACCATCATTAGGTGAGATGAGGCTTGTATTTCAACTTATCTTCTTTGACAAATCAGTGAAAAACAAGGGATTTTACCCTAGGAACCTTGACTTTTCACCCTCTATTCTTCTTGATTTTTCTTGATTTCTTCTTAGCATAACAACATATCTTTATTCTCCATGTCAAATGATGAACCCCACATCTCTCCAATAGCCCTTAATGCATTTCAATCAGTCAATTGACCTAGAGTTGACCCAGATGAAATCCTAGTTGACTGTCTTCAACTGCAATACTTGTGATCACACCAATGACTTGTCTCCTTCTCCAAATGACTTTCTAAGTCCTCCAAGATGTCTAGATACTCCCCATGCTCAGCCCACAGCTCACCATTTCTTTGTTGATCCTCAGACACCCTCAGTTAGGAGATAGATGAACTGCTTGATCCATTGACTTGATAGCTTCCAAATTCTTTTCTGATGACTTGAATGAGGTTGAATCAGGATAATAACCTCTTGATAGGCCTCTAGAGATGAGAATAATGATTGGTCCCCTGTTAGCTGACTTGATATGCTTATGCTATGCAGATGAGTAACCTATGTACATGGCCCTATATGCAAATGCTAATGCAATTGAAACATAAACCAAGTGAATAAGGTTGGGCAAATTTTTAGGGTGCAACATAAGGGAATTATCAATGGCATTGTTTTTATGCCCTGGGAAGATACATGTTTTGTAACTGGTGGAAGTGACCATGCTGTTGTACTATGGCATGAGCAGGATGATGAGGACAAATGGAAACCAAGACCATTGCACAGGAACCTTCATTCTTCTGCTGTCATGGGTGTTGCTGGTTTGCAGCAGAAGCATATTGTGTTATTCGCAGGTGCAGACAAGAGAATAATTGGGTTTGATGTCGCAGTTGCATGAGCGTCGTTCCCAATCCATTGTGAATCATGATGTAGATTTGTTCATGCTTTGTGAAATTTATCTTATACATGAATTTTCTTTTTAATTTTTTTTAACGTCTTATGGCACAAATTTTGTGTTCTTGCATTGTAATGCAGAGCCAAACAAGCATTCTAAAAACTCAAGAGTATTTAGATGAGATGTGCTCTTGAGTTTGAATTAAATCCTAAATACACAGTAGTGTTAAATTCTTTTGAGAGTGATTTTTTATTTTGAACAGAGAACATACATTTTGTAAAAAAAAAAGTTAATACCTATTTTTCCTCAGTCATATGTGCCATTTTTGAAAAAACTTCTGTAAAAATAAAATTGAAATCTCTTTCTAACTTATAAGATTCTCCTACTTTGCTCCCTTATTAAACCCAATCACCAAAAATTGTGATGTGAAAAAGATATGCGGAAATATTTTAAAATTTTCATTTTAATTTAAATCCGCTTGGTCAATATATTTATGTTATGCAATCTCTGTATTATTAGAATCAAAGATTTATTATTAGTTTTTTTTATTCTATGTTGGACATATTATAATTATGTTAAGCACTGTCAATATATTTTAAAACAGTTGAATATTTTCACAATTAATACTGTGAAATTATGATCATTTTGATTTTGTTATTTCTATTTAAAAATGCTCTTATATCAAAGAATTAACTTTTCTGGGCGTCCCGTGCGGACGCACGGGTCTTCTACTAGTAAGTTTGCAAAAGAATGTTAGAGTTTGAAATTATAAGATAAGTGAATAATAGAAAAAATGAGTGTATATAAGAAGAGAGAGAACTGTGATTAGAGAAAGAAATTGAGGATGAGAATTATCTTTAACATTGATATCAATACCTCATCAAAATATTTACAAGTAGATTGGAATACAAGTTACATCATCAAAATACAACAAATTTTAAAAATACAACAGTAATACCCGATTACTTCAATTGTGACTCCGTTGATAGCAACGTGTTTTTTATTTCGATAATATCTCAATCTCAACTTTCCTTCACTAACAAGTTCGCTAAGTAGTGAAACATTTTTTCAATGTACTTACTCCTCTAATGTGAAATTGAATTCTTAGCAAGATTAATCATATAAACGCTATCAACTAGGAGCGTAACAACATCACCCTCATCGTTGTCTAGTTCCTTCAATGAATTCATTAGCCACGCGACTTGACACGCGTAAACGAAGCGACAATGTACCCGACTCACAAGACGAGAGTGTTACTACCGGATCCTTCTTCGAACAACATGATATTGGTGTTCCTCCGAACATAAAGATGTATCTAGCTTTAGACTTTCGATCATCTTTATCTCCGCGCCAATTCAAATCGGTAAAAGTGAGTAAATTGCATTTTTACCTGTGTCTGCTGCGGGAAAGAAAATTCTGCGGTCAATAATCCTTTGACGTATCTTAAGATCCTCTTGATTACTGTCAAGTGGGACACCTTTGGTCTCTCCATAAATCTACTCATAATATTGATATTAAACGTCAATTTTGATTACATATTGCACATCTTTATCTCCGAGCCAATTAAAATCGATAAAAGTGAGTAAATTGCATTTTTTCCTGTGTCTGCTGCGGGAAAGAAAATTTTGCAGTTAATAATGATTTGACGTATCTTAAGATCCTCTTGATTACTGTCAAGTGGAACACCTTCGTTCTCTCCATAAATCTACTCATAATACTGACATTAAACATCAAATTTGATTACATATTGCACAAATAACACAACGATTCAATCAGCCTCCTATACTGAATTAGATCAACATCTTACTCATCCTCACTCTTCGTCAACTGCAGCTTTGGTTCATTTTGAAACACCTGTGAGGCCTTTGATGGTAAAACCAAAGGTAGAACTCCGAAGATTGTCAACTGCAGCTTTGGTTCATTTTGAAACACCTGTGAGGCCTTTGATGGTAAAACCAAAGGAGGCCTTTGATGGTAAAACCAAAGGTAGAACTCCGAAGATAGGTCAATCTGACAACTGTGATCCCGATGTCATTATAGTCACAGTTGCATGTTTTGGTACTAAATGACTCAAAAGATTAGCTCTTAACTTGATCTTAATTATAATGAATATGGTAAAAAAAATCTCTTGATTATGGAAATAAATGAAGACAAAATTAATCCTAATAAAAACATGATTTTATCCAAGCAACATCCAGGAGGAAATAATCAAATTTGTTCATTTCTTAATACTCATGTTAAATGTTGAACTAAATCGAAGTTGTCTTTATAAGTAGAGGTCCATAACATAAACTAACAATGTTTGTGATTAGATCCCTAAATTTGTTAGTAGTAATTATAATTAAGTCCATAAACTAAAAGTCTTTTAATTGCTCCAAACTTGTAAATAATTAGTAATTAGACCATTGAATTTAGGGACCTAAATATAAATATTTAAAAGTATAAAGACCTACTTAAAAGTATAGTAATTCAATTAAAAAATAATAAAGATTGTCTAAGTAAACAATTTTGACAGATTCAGAAATTCACTACCAATTTTTTGTCTCAGTAGTATATAATAATAATGTCTTGGCATGAAGGCTAAAAGATGACTTATTTGATCGATAGAGCTAAAGACAGTTTATTCAACACACGCTAAAATCTTACCAAAATGCTCTTACTCATAGAAAGTAACACCTTGCTGTTTTTGGACCCTCACTTTTTCATTCGAAGAGAAGAAGTCGAAAGAAACATGATAATTAAAAGGCTAAATAATATAGTCATACAAGTTTCACATCAAAATATGTGTTTTCCACGCTAGAGATAATAGGAACACCGTCGCTCTGAAAGCAAATGCAGTTTTAAGTCTCGACAATTTCCAACTGTCTAGTGAAATAGTGAAACTAACTAGTTTAACATGATCATACATCATTTAAACATGATCATACATCACTTAAACATGATCATACACTTGGGACCACAGCTCTACGTGGATGTATGCAAAGCAGCTGCCAGCGCCATCCTTTCTGCAATAAAGCCATTGTAACATGACATGTTCATTAAAACAGTAGCAGTGATTATTATAGATCAGTCATCAATTTCTCTTCTTTTTTTAACAAGTTTTAAGAAAATTTCAGTAACTTGAATATACAGTAATAAAGTTGTATACAAACCTTCACAACATTCCTTTCTTGCGTCTCCATGTGTTCAACAAAAATTGTACTCCTTCCTTCAAAGTTGCTCTCTTTCCCGTTTTATAGTTCCATAACTCAGAGGTTACATATCGCCCACTAGGATTATATTCGTTAATCTCTGTTAAAGCTGCCACCACTGCATCATATGCCTTTTCACCCACTTCTTCTCTCAGTCCTTTCAGCTTTTCATCGTCTTCTTGAATAAGTTCCTGAATCAAAACATTCGTGAAACCAGATAACCAAATGCAATTGTTAGAAGTTTCGCCAAATCAGAAACATCAAAGGATAATTGTAGATTAAAATGAATCTGAAACCATTGTAACCTATTCACAAGTTAAACTTCCCTCTTTTGAACCGATAATCTGATATCAGTCTCAAAGGAGGGATTACATGGTATATCACTCACTCTCACTCTCTGAGGCTGAAAAACAGAGAAAAGAACAAGGTGGGTGAAAATCCAACAAGGAGAAAATTCGGTTGCTAATCAGAGAATTCATACTCCAATGTTAAAGATAGAGTTATTGACCTATTCTTGGTTGTCCACTCATTCTTTCTCCTATTAATCCCCTATGACATTTCCAAACAGCGCTCAACACCAGTGAGTTCCTTAGATGACAAAAAAGTGACAGAATTATAGGTTCAAAAGGCCACATATTCGTCTTCAATCTTCATGGAGAGGTAATATAAATATATAAATGATTAACCAAATTTTATTAAAAGTGATATGCAATAAAGCAGGTAGACTTCGGGATAATTTAATGAGAACCATGTTTAATAGAAACAACATACTCTATGTTTCCCGTCACTCTCGACAACTTTGAATGGATGCCAATCTGGGTCTTTTAGATACTCTTCCCACAATGAACATAATTCTGTAGCTTTGTCTTCAGCTTCCTCCTCATTATATCTTTGCTTCATAGCTTCAAGGAATGGTTCAGTGTCAAGTTCCCCCATTCTCTTCACACCAATTTGGGCTCGAGTTGCTATCTCTTTAATAGCCTACAAGATATAAAAAACATTATTACTTAATCTATCAAGCAATACTGAACAGTAAAATGTATAAGAGAGGTTTGAAAATGGCAAGAATTTTTCAGAATACCAAGTCCAGTATAAAAGTAATGTAGAAAACTAGTAGTGAAACCTTCCAAGCAACAGTGGATAGTAAAAAAGTATAAGAAAGCTTCAAAAATTGCAAGAGTTTTCGAAACATTAAGTCCATTATAAAAGGAATGTAAGAAATAAGCAGTGAATAGTGAATATTGGCACAACGACAACTTGGTCCTGTCTGCATAATTATATTATGGACCATTCACATCATTTTGACCAATATGAGTCAGTATGATGATCCGATGAGATTATAATTTTACTCAAGTCATTTTTGGTACCTTGTTCTAGACTTGGTTAATAAGAGAGTTGACCAAATAGAATAGACACACACATATATACCTCGGCTGTGGTTCACAGAACACTTTAGGCAAATAAAATCATTAAAAAAAAGGCCAATTAGCCAAATAGTTGAAGTATGAAAGAATTGGAAACCTGCTCCCCTTTGCACAGATGATCTTCCAATTAATATAATGAATTAATTAACTGGAATGCAGAGACGTATCTGAAAAAAAAAAGTACTCTTACATTAATCAATTCTTTTCGAGCATCCTGCAGCTCATCGTTACTCTTACGCTCCTTGATGATTAGTGTTTGGTTCAATGCATCTAAGTCTTCTAGTACCTGTTCCTTCTCCCTTAAACCCTTTTGCAGATCATCTACCTTCTTCAAAACTTCTCCGTCGTCATCATCTTCTATGTGCTTCAACACACTTAGTGATCCTCTAAGTTGCTGAATCTCCAATTCCAGCTTTTGTTTCATATCCAGTTGTTTTTCAAGCTGAATGATTTTAGCATGGAGTTCTTCTTTTTGTTTCTGTATAATAGACATTCAAATGCCATAAATACTACGTTACTCTGAACCTGACAGGCAAACTTTTGATCATTAACAAAACTAATAAAAAGGCAGTAAAGACCTTTTGATCTTCAGCCAGTTTCAAAACATTTTGATCTGCTTTCAGTTGCTCTATTGAAGCCATCTGAAGAGAGCTGTTTTTTGTTGTATTCTGAATAAACAATAAATGCCAGAGTTAAACAAAGCCTTCTACAAGCTTCTGAAACAAAATATGACTTCAAAGACACAGTAAGAACATATTATATCAAAATTCTAGCTTATAATCTCTTTTATATCCTTATACTATGTTTAAACATCTAATAGTAAGTGGAATGAGAAGAAGAATGAAGTGAAATGGAATAAAATAGCCATTTCATATATATATATTTTTGAATATTTTTTAACAAGGAAAGGAGAAAAGGAATTGTTTCTCCCATACCTCCAAATTGGAGAGAGGAAAAGAGATCTCCTGGATGGGACGGAGTAAATGCATTTAATAAAATTCTATTGGACTGCTTCCTATTTAAACAACCTAAACAATAGAACCTAGGATATTTCCATTTCAGCTCTTTCTGCCCATCCACACGTAGTCTTAACGGCGGTGAAAAGAGTAAAGGAAAAACAGAAATCCCCTGGTGTGAAATCATTGGCATATAACTATATTGGCAACTATTATTCTCTTCCCGTTCCTTGAATTTCATATCATTAAAAGCATAATAGAATATAACCACACATGGGACTTAAGTAACAAGGGAAGGGATCACTGCCAAGATTAAGATCAGAGACACAGTCAGTCGAAGCACACAAATAGTCTATACATAGATTATAAGGTTCCATTGAGAATTCAATCATGAGATACTTTCCCTTTTAAAGTAAATACATCAACGATCCATACACTAACTTGTTATGGATTCACAATCTTCAACAACGTACTACTTGAACAAAAATCAGTTTTATTATGTTGTAGGTATTTTTGGAATTAATTATCCAAAGATTCAGCTGAAAATAATTTCCCAACCAATCATTACATGATCTTTAAACATGATAAGCAAAGTGGATATTGATTAACCTTGGTTGATAAATCCTTCATTGAAAGCACTAACACACCTAAGTATCAATCAAGTGGACAATAATTTGTCAAAAAAACCATATAATAGTAATCAATACCGTATACAAAAAAAGTTGTTTCATCAATATAAAATTTTCAGGAATCCCAATCATAGGGGAAGGAGCAAAATAAAAACACTATACCTCCTCAATCTCCTCTGCCAACTTTTTTCTTTCACTTTCATTATGTGCTTCACGTTTTTCCAAAGCAATTCTCCGCGATTCAAGCTCACTTTTCTGAGATTCCAGTTGCGATTTAAGCTTTTCATGATCATTAAAAATCCTTTGGAAGTGATCCTTAGCACTTGCCTGTATTTTCTTTATCTCTAAATTCAAAGATCACAAAATTTAAAACAATAATCAATTCTTAAAATTGTAAAAGAAAGTTCGAGCATAATATTCGTCCGAAGTCCGAAATCAATTATGATGCCATATTTGATGGTACAATCATTGCAATGATTCTAGCAATATTTGGCTATTTCCACCAAGCTGGCAGTTGTATCATGTATGTGTAACCAAATCACCAGTTGCAAATCAGAAACACGAAAAACTAAACACCCACAACCACAACACATACAAGTTCTGATCCAAATTAGTGAAACTGAAAAGTAACTGAGGCTCAATAAATATAGATACCTTCATTATAAGATTGAATCAGTAAATCTTTTTCTTCAATGGCAGAATTCATTTTTTCTGTAGTCTCGGTGCATCTTGCTTCAATCTCATGTAAGTGCCTGTTCTTTTTTTCAATAATGTTGGTCAAATTGGACACAAGTTTATCTTGCCTTCGAGCTTCTTCTTCCATAAGTTCCGGTATGGTTTTGACATCAGCCATCTTTCGCAGATGTTCCCCAATGATATTGTTCACTTTGTAGTCATCTGCTCGGGCAACCCATCCATAAAGACCCGACTTCTGCCCGGTATTAGCAAGCCAATCCTTTTTCCCATGATGTTCCAATGCATATGCTTTTTCAAATGCAAGTGCATTATCTAAGCCAGGCCAGCTTTTATTGAATTCCACAAGAGCAGTTCCAGAGTGACCTCGATAACTCCATAAAGGATTGACTCGAACTGGATTGAAACCCCTACTTCTGTACTCATCCCTAATCTTGGAACCACTCGCCCCAACAGTGCGCCCACCTTCTTTTCGGGTAGTTGGAATATTAACTATTATCCCCATCCAAGGCCACACAAACTGCTCATCAGAATCAATAGGTGTGTGACTTTTATCATCAACCGGTTCCGGCGGAGCATCTATATTCATAAGATCATTTTCCAAATACTTCACTAAAGCCAAATGTGTGGCCTTTTCTCTTGGTTTTCTCCTTTGTGAACTACTCTGACCCACCCCAGAAGCATGTTGCAGAAGCTCCTTATACAAATAATCTCGTTTTCTTTTCTTAGGACAGTAAGGACAAGTGAATTTCTCATCCAAGGCCTTGACATTCTGACTTCCATTTTTCAGTTCTTCGTAACATTTTTCTTCGTATTCACCTATTTCAGAATCACTGATATCAGTATCCTCCTCAGAAGAGTGAGACATTGTAGCACCTGAAATACAAATCGTGTTAGGACATTATAACACACATTCTTAGCCAATCCTATGGTAAAAATAAATCATCAACCGAAAAAGGCAAAATCAGAAAAGCACAATCTTATGTAAAACCTAAAAATCAATTAAATTCACATGCATAGCTTGATATAAAACCCAATTAGAAACAAAAAACGAAAGGGGAAAATGGTTATGAGTATATTGAGCTTAAGAAAAGCGAAATGCAGATTGGTTTTGACGAATTTACCTGAAAATGCGGAGAGATTTTACAGGAAGAAAAATCGGAAGGATCTGGAAAAATGGAGTGTGAACTAATGCTCTATGAGAGAGGAATCATAGAAACTCATTATTGTTTTGATTTTAGGGATTTGATAATGGAATCTCTGAAATGTTCAGTTATGATACTAATGAATGCGACTACTATTACACAATCGCTATAGGGGACTGTTTGTGTGCGGTGCGGTCTTCCTCATCTTCGTGGTCTTCACTTTCATGATGCATTTACCATACGCGGTGATGCCGTGTGGCGTATGGAAATTGGGTGATGAATTTTGATGGTTTATGAGTGGGGAACGGAACGTAGGCAAGTGGTGAGAGTGCATGATAGTGACACATGGTTACAAAATGCCATGGGCCCGACACTTGTTATTACCATTTTCTTTTTTATTTTCTTTTTCTAGTCTATTGCTATTACCGTTTTGTAGTGTACGGAGAACAAGATGAACGTTATTTTAACATTTTAAGATATAAAATCCTTAAATTGGTAAAAATCTTTAAATAAACAAGAGTTCCTAATTAGTAGCATTTTCTATAATTTAATAAGCTATTAAAAAATATTTCTACAAATTTTCATAGTATTACATACAAGTTATTAAACAATAACAAAATAATAATAATAATAATAATAATAATAATAAACAATCACTCTTTTTAGCTATATTTATAAGAATCACTTCCCATTCTTTTAAGATAACATTCTTTAAAAACTTTCAAATACGTTGATAAATTTTTTTATAATATTTTTATAAAATATATAATTGAAAAATAAAAAATAAATCCTATTGTATTATTAATAATAGATATGATTATATAAACGTAACATTTTTTTTAATAATTTTATTACTACAACTTTTTTTTAATATCCGGAAAATTTATAAAGAATTTTACAATATATGAATATATATATAGTATAAGTTTTAATTAATCTATAAAAGTTTAAATTTTTAAAAATGGTCAAATTAACATTTAATATTTTAAAATCATATTTTCATAAATAATCAACATAATTACATGTATCTAATCATTTCAAAATTTGAGAATAGCCTAAAAATATAGTATAAAATATTTTATACAAGGTAAAATTATTTAATACTTGAAAAACATATCAATGCCATTTAACCTCATCATTTCTAATATTATGTTCCAAATCTGTGTTACCACATTAGTTCTAAAAATATATTCCAATTCTAGACGAATATAGACATTCACTAAAACTTATTTAAAAATTTTAATTTTATACTTATGAATGAAAAACATATTGTCTAGTAAAAAGGAACATGGTCGAGTTAGTGAAGAATATTGGGTAGGAAGATAATGGTCGAGTTGGTTAATTTTAATCATAAAATTTAAAGAATTTAATAGAAAATAAATTATTTTAATGGCGTTTATACATATATTTAAGGATGAGAACGATATGAGAATTTTTATACTATATGAAATGTGGAGTGAGTGAGCATTATATGAACCTCTAATATATTTAAATGGTCGAGTTGGTTAATATTAATTATAAAATTTAAAGAATTTAATAGAAAATAAATTATTTCAATGGCGTTTATACATATATTTAAGGATGAGAACGATAAGAGAATTTTTATACTATGTGAAATGTGGAGTGAGTGAACATTATATGAACCTCTAATATATTTAAATATACATTATGTTCTCGCGCGCGCGTATATATATATATATATATATATATATATATATATATATATATATATATATATATATATATATATATATATATATATATATATATATATATATATATATATATATATATATATATATATATATATATATATATATATATATATATATATATAAAACAAACACACAAGAAAAAAGGAATCGCCACAAATAATGAGAGTTTGGAGATGATGAGACTATAAGAGACATTAATTTTAAAGAAGATAGAAAAGCAAACTAATAAAATCAAACAAATGTGTGTATATATATATTTGATTTTATTAGTTTGCTTTTCTATCTTCTTTAAAATTAATGTCTCTTATAGTCTCATCATCTCCAAACTCTCATTATTTGTGGCGATTCCTTTTTTCTTGTGTGTTTGTTATATATATATATATATATATATATATATATATATATATATATATATATATATATATATATATATATATATATATATATATATATATATATATATATATATATATATATATATATATATATATATATATATATATATATATATATATATACACACACACACGTACACGCACACTATATATATGTATATATATACACACGCACACGCACACAAAGCCCTTATAGATCAAAGAATGATTGCCCAACGAAGTCTAGATGACTACATTTTTTTATGACAAGTAACCCAAATATTCAGAGTTCGGCTGTTGATACTCAAATTCAAAATGTAACACAAAAAAAAGTTTGATTCATACAATTGTTAAGACAAATTTGATTCATACCATGTATCCTCTAAAGTTTTAATGATACCAAAGTATTTGAAAAACAATTAGAATTTTGATGTTGGCACAAATCTGAAAGGAGTTATCAATGAGTTCCGGATTAGTAGTGGGTAGAGCTTACTAAGCGGTGTAGGAATCCGTTCTTCGTGAGCCTTGTTCCTTTTGTTCCGATTCTGCCTTTTGTTCTGTCTCTGCCTCTTATTTCGATTTTGACGACCTTGTAGTGGAGTAGCCAATGGATGTTGATATGCCAAATTGGCATTCAAAGGCTAATGATGACATCTTGAGGGATAACCAAATGCTGGTAAATAGAGAGTATCCATATGGGTTTGCCCTAAACTTGGGGTAACACCAGCTGAATGAGGAGTGATGACTTCCTTGGTTGTCACAAGGTGAGGGTGACATTTTGGTGTAGGACCAAATGCTGGTTGATATGAAGTCTCCCCACCGAAGTGTCCTTGCTGTGGAGATGGTGAAGTGATATTTTCTCTAGATACAATAGGCTAAGAGTGCCCCTCTTTCTTCGTCAAGTTTTGCAAAGTCTCCAAGACCCAGTTCATCTGACCTTTGAGAACTCTAATCTCCTCTTTCAGGGTTTCCTAGACCTTTAAAAGCTCATTCATCGTCGTCATTTGTCCAGAATGTGTGCTAGGTATCCTCTTGTGATATAGGAAGAAGAAGATGAGACTCAAGTCTGAGAAATGCAAATGCAATGAAAATGTGACGATATGCTCATGCAATGTAAATGCAAGCCAAATGGTTTAAAGGAACTCAAAAACAAATTGCAATCATTTTTTGGAAAAACTGAAAAGTTTTGTTTCAAAATCCATAATCTCCATTATTTTTTGCAAAGGAAAGAACAATTGAATTCCTTGAAACCAAAGGGTTATTCATGAATGCATGAATGTATGGATGCATAAAACACACGTATACACACATATTCACGTATTTACACATCCATATATACAGATATGTACTGGAAAATAAACAAGAGCCTAGGTTTGGAGATCACGAGCGTGGAGCCATGGTCTAACCCACCCCAAAAGGTATGTACTATGGGTTATTTGTACCTGCACAACGGGTTTTACAAAGTTCCCAGAGTCATAGATAAATCCTTCGAATATTATCAACCAACATGACTACTCACGTGGGTCAAAAATATTCTTGGGATAAACTCGTCTGAGTGTAGTATCGCGTAACAACTATTTCGAGACTACTCCCTTAGAGTCTCCGCACTAAGTCCTAAAAAGGTCAAGTGGGGTAAGTGGGTAACTAAAGGTCCTCAGTTTCACAGACTCTCAGGTTGAAACAACTAATAAAATGCATGACTACTCATACATTATCAATTATCTCAAGGAGGTCTCTAATGAGCATGGTTACATCATATGTCAAACATGTTAGGACTACTCCTAACAGTCAACTATTGATCATACCACATCATATCATATGTGTACACTCAAGTTCAGGTTAGGACTTATCTCACCACTCAAGATATCACCCAAAGATCCAATGAAAACAAAGCAATTATATATTTAAAAATATACATGTATAAGCATACATAGATATGGCATATAAACATACAAAGTGGGCTAAACCCTCTGATTGTCCCCACTAAAGTCGCCGTTTATGTTGCAGTGAGAATCAGATATCAAGGTATTGATTAACTTGAATCTTAATTCATTAAATTCACAACTGGACTTTGATTTATCCAAAGGAAAGGTTAAATATAAAAATACCTTGCGTGCGATGTAACAACAACGCTAAGAGATTCGGGGATCGAGAGTTGGTTATGCTTAGGGTAGGTATTTTACATCCTAAACATATGTATTATCCTACAGGAACCTTTTGTATGTTTGTATGTTATACTACTTGCTATGGTTTGGGATCAAGGTTGGGGTTTTGAGGTAAAGACCTAGGGTTGATGTTTCTAAGTTTGCTCACAAAGATATCACATATTTTGCTTACGTATCCTAACTAGGATAGAATCAGAGTAATCTTGGTTCACCTCACTGAGGGTGGATGAACACTTGATTATGATGAAGGTTCAAAGGGGAACAAACATAACAATACTTGTATCAAGTTTAACAAAACTCTCTGTTCTAAGTTGTACACTCAAGGGGATTAACTTTGACAAAAGCCAGGAGGGGAGTAAGTAATCATGACAATGATCCTTACATAGAGTTGACAAACTCTAACCTAGGGTTCTAGTTGAAGAACACTATTAGTAAAGGTGGGTCTTTTAGACTTAAGCAAAGTCTAATG